TGAGAGGAAAATGACGTCCAAATTGTTGGCTATCATGACCCATGGCTTTCTTGTAGGAATGAAGACCGTGTTTAGCAGTAGAGTGATGCAACAGGGAACACTACAGAAGGTCATTTCTATCTACTGCTATAAGACTGTACAACTCATCCACCATGTGCAGAGTTGTCATTGGCACTGGCTCGAATGGTGAACCTGTTGGAGATTCCGTCAAATCACAAGACTACACTAGTGAGGACTTTGTAGTGTACTACTACCCGAAAGTCTATCCAGGATTAAGTCACTTAGAGGATCTCAAAGCTTGAGGGAGGTATTTGGGGCAGATTAACTTCTTGTGAAAAGGGCCTAAATCCAAAATCTATAGGACTGTAACAGGAGACTGACTGATCATTTCTCGGTTGAAGGTTTAGTGTGAATTTAGGTGTAGGATGTTGGTTTTGGATCACCCTAAAAGAGTAACTCTCTTCATATTTGGCTCCTTCAAGGAACTTAAATCTTGGACTGCTGATCTGATTTGATCTTTGGCGTCGTGACATGCGGGACGGGACATAAGCTACTTAAGTGTCATGTTCCCGCCCATTTACCTTTCACTCAGTTAACGTGTGATACTTCATCACACAGTACATCATGACCTCCACGTCTGATCATATTTTTTACATTACAGAATAGGTGCAAGTAAGCTGATGGAATAGAAAGTAACTCAACCTTCTTCTTAGATTCTCATGCATTTTATTCTGACATGATTGCTAAATATGCAATGTGTTAAGTGACAAATAGTAATCAATAAAGCAAGTCTAGATATTTATTAAATAATGACTAGCTGTATTTCATGCAATATTATCAATGGGATGTAATTGTACTCACGCCTCCAGTGCTTACCTGGGAGGGTAAAGTTTCCTCCTCTGATCTGCAGAGACGGCAGCATTATCGCTCATTAAGTAACCAGTTGCCACAGCACCAGCCCCAAGGCTCGCCATGAGCAAGCCAGTGGTACGGCTCGACATCACCTTGGCGAATGAGCTTGCCATCTTCACACCGTTTCTTGTCAAAAAGTTCTGACGGGATCAGCACTGGTAGAACAAGGTGGCAAGGTTTTCACAATGATCATAGCTTCTTTTTAAGACTATAGCTATCAAACTAAACTTTGTATTAGTTGATGGTGCCCTAAGCTGACAAGTATCACCTGATTTAAGATGGCAGCTTACTTGTTTTTAACTGGTTACCTTCTTAAGAGACTGGTTGATTAACTCTAATACTTTCTTTTACTAATTTTCCTTCACCAGTTTCTAAAGAACAGTTAAGGAGGAACCTTTATAATGTTTCTGAGAACTGTTCTAAATATAAGGCATAGTTTAAACAAAACAATATATTGTAATATTTTGTCAAAGAAACCAAACAAAGGAACACTTAAAATATATTTCAAATACACCTCTACAATTTGGAACCCCAAAATTTGGTCAATCAATAATGGTTTCTCCACAGCAGATTCTTAAACTTTAACGTTTGGTGACATCCTTGAGAAAGTCCTTTTGACACTGCAACTGGAACTCTAAAAGTGAAAGTGTTATTAATAGACTAGCAGACTACATGAAGGGTTTGGAACGGAGCACCAACTGGCACCAGTCTACCCTGAGGCCTCGTGCTCAAGCCGTGACATTCTGAACCGGTCACACAAGCGTATACAAGACCCAACCAGAATCTGTCCGTTTGAACTCAGATCTACATTATACACCAAAACCATGAACACTCTGTGATACTTCTAAGCAGGTCAGCACTTGACCGAGGTTTAAGGTCTATCTCTCGGCGGAGTTGTGGGGGATTACTAGGCTTTTAACTCAAGGATTAGTCCAGAATGTTAGGAGAATAGCACTAAATAAAATACTGTTTAATGTCCATAAAGATGGCACAGTGATTCCAACAAATGCTTACTACTGAAATAGTAACCTATATAGGTATCTGCAATCTGTTTACAGTCATTCAATACAACTTAAGTATATCAAATGAGTAAAATAATTAAAAGTTGTACCAAATATACACTACACTGCACTTTAAGTAAATATCCAAGCAAATAAAACAGCTGATTGTTGGCTTACCACTTTGCATCCAGCATTTTCAATATTTACAATTTAATGGAAAGCGATGAAGGATTTCTTACCAGTTATGGGAATTCCTAATTCTCAAACTTAGCTTAAGTTTTTTTTGTGAGTAAGTAGTATAAGGGAAGATAGTTTTACCTGTAGAGTCTCCTCTGTTACAGTAGGCTGTGTCAGGAAGCACACAGTCTGTGAGGGAGGCTGGCGCTCCTCCCAGGATATGGGATTAGAAGTGGACCTGATGGCCAATCCTCTTCCACGTAAGTGCCAGGTCATAACCCATGTCTGTCGTCCGGCTTGTCCTTGAGACTTGCTGCCATAGTCCAACATTTTGCATGTAACCACTACCAGCTCTTTAAAGGGCACCTATTATGCCCCTTTTACAAGATGTAATATAAGTCTCAGGTGTCCCCAGTGACAGCAGCGAAATATACAGTTACTTGTAGCTGTCTACGGTGTTAAAGGGGTCATATGATGTTGCTAAAAAGAACATTATTTTGTGTATTTTGTGTAAAGAAATGTGTTCATGCAGTTTAAGGTTCAAAAAACACATTTTCCACATACTGTACATTTTTGTTTCTCCTCTATGCCCCACCTTTCTGAAACGCGTAAATTTTTAAAAAGCTCATCAGTCTGAAAAGCGAGGTGTGCTCTGATTGGCCAGCTATCCAGTGCGTTGTGATTGGCCGAAGACCTCAAGCGTGTGACGGAAATGTTACGCCCCTACCATACTGTGATGCCGTCCGGCCGGAGGGATGAGACAAAAACATTAAAACCCATTATAAACGAGGTATTTTTTGCATTCAGTGGGGACATAATTACGGATTATAATGACTTATACTGTCTTTTCACGCGTTGCATTGGATCACGTCGCGTAAACATAAAACCATGTCTGCATTTGTGATCAGAGAAATGACAAACAACAAGCGCTACTCTACACTGCCCAAAACTCGCGTTTGAATCATCAGTGGCAAATTTTTTAAATATGAAAACGTACTTACAGGCTGTGAGTCAGAACAGCTGGCATTGTAGTCTACTCTCACAGGATCAGGAAACAGTCCTCCATAAACTGTGCTGCACACATCTGAATACTTGGGTTGAACTGTTCTTGAACAGTGTTGTAAATCCTCTTTTGGAAGGCCAAAGTATTTTCGCTTTTACAACGAAACACACAGCGTCTTCACAACATGGCGGCGGCGGTGGCAGCAACAATAAAGTTACATCTTTTCTTTGCGTGAACATTTGGGTGGTGTTATGCAAATCTTCCCACACAGTGACGTAGACATGTGAGGGTATGTTTAAACGAGGCGTTTTATGGGGGGCGTGGACCAGTCTTATAAAGAATATCTCTTTGGGTTTGAGACTTTAGTCTTTGCAACTTTAGGGATCTTATCTATGCACAATCAGCTTGTAACACTCCAAAGAGAAAGGAAAACTTGAAATCGCATCATATGACCCCTTTAATATGACCCAAACAATAAAATAAAAGCAGAAAATCACTCACTGCTCTTGAATGAATTATTTCTGTAGCTCTAATTAGAAGACATTTCTTACAGGAATGCTGCTTTTAAATGCTCTTGTGTGAAGATAAACATGATGGATTGTGTGCGGCTCACTCAGGGTGGGGTCTCTGCTAATACGGCAGTGTCTGTCCGCAGTTGTGGGCGGGGCGTGTAAAATGTGACATCACATTTTATGGATTCTGCGAACGACGTCTAGAATAGACAAGTGGACATCTAGAATACTTCTTTAAATCACAATAATTATCCTATTATCAAGTAACTTGCACAGACAGGCAGCAAGCTAGCTAGCCAGAATGATAAAAACATATGTTGATTATACAAATGATCTTTTGAATGCATAATGGAAAACAAACCATACAGAAGATAAGACCAATTTTATTTCAAAAGTTACAGCTACATCATGGACAAATGTACAGAACATTTATGTCATTGAAAAAGATGTGAAATCAATTATGGAAAAAAGACCCTTCTTTAGAAGGTGTGCATGAGTCAACAGCATTATTGAAATAAAAAACAACAATGCAGGGCTGCCTAAGTTTACAACATCAATATGTTTTCCAGGTAAAAGTTAAAATAAATTAATATCCAATTAAATAAACAGAACACTGTGCTGAATCTATGTTTCAATTAAACAACAACTATTTCTCTTTGTACAAAAACAGACTTAAATGCCCACTTAAACATTTGTGTAAAATTGAATTACTGTCACGTTACAGCTGGGTGGAGTAAACTTTATGAAAACAACCAAAAACTGTAAACTAGTGAATGATTCCCTGCTCATATCAAAATCAACAATAAACCACTTTTTCTGCATCAGCCAAAAAGTATCTTTTCTGCACATAACATAGTATGGAGTAAGGTGTATACAGGTGCATCTCAATAAATTAGAATGTCGTGGAAAAGTTCATTTCAGTAATTCAACTCAAATTGTGAAACTCGTGTATTAAATAAATTTGTTTATTTGGTTCTTTTAATTGTGATGATTTTGGCTCACATTTAACAAAAACCCACCAATTCAGTATCTCAACAAATTAGAATACTTCATAAGACCAATAAAAAAAAACATTTTTAGTGAATTGTTGGCCTTCTGGAAAGTATGTTCATTTACTGTACATGTACTCAATACTTGGTAGGGGCTCCTTTTGCTTTAATTACTGCCTCAATTCGGCGTGGCATGAAGGTGATCAGTTTGTGGCACTGCTGAGGTGGTATGGAAGCCCAGGTTTCTTTGACAGTGGCCTTCAGCTCATCTGCATTTTTTGGTCTCTTGTTTCTCATTTTCCTCTTGACAATACCCCATAGATTCTCTATGGGGTTCAGGTCTGGTGAGTTTGCTGGCCAGTCAAGCACACCAACACCATGGTCATTTAACCAACTTTTGATGCTTATAGTACACAGATATGGTAATAAATCAGTACAAAAGTGTACAAAAGTCACTGTTTCATGGTACCATCACAGTATTTCTGAAGTGTAGAATATATGTAATAAATGCTTTGAATCTGCTATTGTTAATCCAAAAGTTAGAGACAAAAATGTTTTAAAGAAGAATTAAGAATATGATTAAGTACAGATTCATGCACACACATGCCAGAAAATATAAAAAATATTCTACAAACAGAAACATGCTAAATGAGCAAATGCAGTCTCATTGCAACATGCTGTGTAAACAGATGACACCTAATATTAACAAATGTAAAAATATATTTATTTTGGTAAACCGTAAACGTGCTTGGTTGAGCTTTGACATTTCAGCGAACTCCAGTGGATCAAAGTACTGACATGACTGTCATACATGCGGGCAGATTGACTGAGAAACTTGCTTGTCAAAATTGGACCAGCGAACATCAATCACACACATTTTTGACATCTGAACATATGTTTGCACGCATACACATTCTCATTATAGTAAAGGAATGATCAGACTTTAAAAATGGAACTGATATTGTGCATTCAGGTAAAAAAATTATCAAATTATTAAAATGCATCATGCTAGAAATATGCACTATGAAACTGTACATAATATTTGCAAAAAGGCACATTTAAACCTGAGTTTACAGCAACAAAAAAAAAGATGAAACAAAATTATATAGAATGAAATTAATATATGGATAAGTTGTTTCTACAGTGGACAGAAACTGATTCCCACAAACTGACTATAAAAAGTTTTTTGATATCCGAGTCTGGTTGTAAACATTATCATCAGGTTTAGTTGGCAGGAGGGAGTCTTGGCTCAATCTTAAGAGATAATTCATAAAGTGTGTCCTCATCCATTACAAGAGTCTTGTCGAGGAGGAACTGTGTTACCTGAGAGAAAAACAGCGATACGTTACATAAATTGAGAACCAACTGCAAAGTCTGTCTATTAAACCTATAAAGCTACTGTATCATATTTGATATGCAAATTTCTAAGGTTTCTAAATGTTCAACATGATCAAAACTTTGCTGTTGAACCTGTCACACTCAATCTACTCCATGCCTTCTGTCGTCTGATTGATAGTTTAGACTTTTTTAGTAAAAGCCCTTTTAGTGTAATTGTACAAACCTCCAGCTTCAGCTGCTGCTTCTCGTGTGTTTCTGCGGTCAAATCTTGACTGATTTTTATCAAGTAAATGTAAGAATAACTGAAGCAATATCTCCAGATGAACACTTACTGGACTGAAGCAGCTCAGCTTTACTTGATTCTCCATCAAATTTTTTTTAGAAAAATCAGTGTCTCTCAAATCTGATCATCAGGATGTTTTGAGGAGCGTTTGTTTCCAGAAGCTTTACTTTCACTGTTCCTCAGCGGAGGAATGATCTTCACAAGCCTCCAGAACATCACACATCTTCTGAGGAGTGTTTATTTATTCAGCTCTCAATCAGCACTGGATTGCATTGCATTAAATGTTTGGATCATTTCAATCTTGTCTTACTAAGACATATTATTGGAGATATATTGGAGTGACCACTGATATTTATATCATTTTATGTAAGTATCTGCTGTACTGTTATAAAGATCTCATTGATCATATAAATAATCAGCATCTGCACCAAACTGCATATTTTACTAAGTTTGTGTCTCTGAATAAAATTCAAGTCCAAAAAATAACAATTATTTCACATGTCAGGTTTTACAGGGTTAAAAGTTGTGCATGAGCAATGAGCTTCTGTCTTGAAGTGTGCACTTCGCCTAAAGCAATTTTTTATCTACTAGTTCCATAATATCACTGTACATTCAGACGGTACCTTGGGTTGCAGATCAATCCTGTAGGGCGCCTGCTGAAACTGTCGGATCTCTCGTATTATGTGTGAGATCTGTGAAAAACAACAAACAGACATTTGAAGACAGGTTCACTGATGTCTTCTGAAATCCTGAGATTTGACGTCTTACAAACACCACAAGCTGAAGAACTGTTTAAATACCATCCTCATTTTAGAGAAGTTGACGAGACCCTCCTCTGTGAAGTTGGGCGTTCCCTCCTCGATAAACGCCAAATCCGTCAGGTACATGCCCAGATAGGGCACACACGGAGGGTTACAGCTGCTGAGTAAATACGCCACTAAGTATAAAATCACAGAGTATATATATATATATATATATATATATAATACAAACACAAACTTACTTTTTCAGAGTTTCCCTCAGATTCTTAAACCTCCCTTCCGATGAAACTATCTTCTGCAATCTGTCCATAAGTGCCTTGGTCTGATAATTAACAAAATCCCACATGGTTAAAAAAAATAAAAATAAAAAATAATCACAAAAACTTTGTTTACATAGGGTGACCATAAATTCTCTTTTTCTTGTATATGTTCAGGGTATTTTTAATGATTGAAGGCCTGCATAATTAATCATATTTTAATAATTCATGGCTGCGGTTGCCAGATTTCAAGAGTATAAATCCCCCAATTTATTTTCATAAATCGATAAATTTTTTGTCCAGCAGTTTACTTAATCTTCCCAATCTGGCAACCATGCGCACTCGCTCTCTCTACATTATGAAATAAAAAGCGCTGATGATCTGAAAACACCAGCAAACATATAAATTAGAGTTTAGCAATCTCTACTGAGACATTCAGCTCAAATAAAATGTAATACACATCAAAGTTTGATGTGACTAAATCTGCGCGCAAACCATCATTTTTTTGATTTGTGCATATGTGAAAGTGCAACAATTCTAATGAAAGGTAAAAATGACAATATTCATGATTATATTTCTGAGCAAAATAATCGTAATTAACCATTTAACTATTATCATGCATGCCTAGTTTGACCAATAGCATGCAGGCATTGTACATAATCGACCAATCGTGGTGCGCGAGGAGGCGGAATCTACAGAACAATCAAACCAAAGCAAATAAGACATACATATAATGTATGAGGACTGTAGAGAGCATGTCAGTAGGAAAACAAAGCCAAAACCTAGACATTTTAGCAAATTAGAAGGGCGTATGGCCACCCTATTTTACAATCCTATGGAATTTTGACTCACCTGTTTGCAAACCTTGGCCCACGTTTTCTTTAGCCTGTAGATGGCGCTGCGGTTCAGTGCGGATGTGATCTCTAACACCCCGTTGTAGTTGTTGAGACAGCGACATATATCAGCCACGGCTAGCCACTTCTCAATGGATGTGGCTCTGGAGCTCACGTCTGCAGGAGCCATGATCTGAGACGCTACCAGATTACTCATCTGTTCAGAAAAAGATTAAGAAGTTACACTGACTCACTCACATCACATTAGGGATTTACAGTTACAAAAGAAAACTATTTAATGTTGTCTTTTTCAGAGTATATATATATATATATATATATATATATAATACAAACACAAACTTACTTTTTCAGAGTTTCCCTCAGATTCTTAAACCTCCCTTCCGATGAAACTATCTTCTGCAATCTGTCCATAAGTGCCTTGGTCTGATAATTAACAAAATCCCACATGGTTAAAAAAAATAAAAATAAAAAATAATCACAAAAACTTTGTTTACATAGGGTGACCATAAATTCTCTTTTTCTTGTATATGTTCAGGGTATTTTTAATGATTGAAGGCCTGCATAATTAATCATATTTTAATAATTCATGGCTGCGGTTGCCAGATTTCAAGAGTATAAATCCCCCAATTTATTTTCATAAATCGATAAATTTTTTGTCCAGCAGTTTACTTAATCTTCCCAATCTGGCAACCATGCGCACTCGCTCTCTCTACATTATGAAATAAAAAGCGCTGATGATCTGAAAACACCAGCAAACATATAAATTAGAGTTTAGCAATCTCTACTGAGACATTCAGCTCAAATAAAATGTAATACACATCAAAGTTTGATGTGACTAAATCTGCGCGCAAACCATCATTTTTTTGATTTGTGCATATGTGAAAGTGCAACAATTCTAATGAAAGGTAAAAATGACAATATTCATGATTATATTTCTGAGCAAAATAATCGTAATTAACCATTTAACTATTATCATGCATCCCTAGTTTGACCAATAGCATGCAGGCATTGTACATAATCGACCAATCGTGGTGCGCGAGGAGGCGGAATCTACAGAACAATCAAACCAAAGCAAATAAGACATACATATAATGTATGAGGACTGTAGAGAGCATGTCAGTAGGAAAACAAAGCCAAAACCTAGACATTTTAGCAAATTAGAAGGGCGTATGGCCACCCTATTTTACAATCCTATGGAATTTTGACTCACCTGTTTGCAAACCTTGGCCCACGTTAGCTATCTCAATATTTAGATTTTTTTGCACCCTCAGATTCCAGATTTTCAAATAGTTATATCTCGGCCAGATATTGTCCTATCCTAATAAACCATACATCAATGGAAAGATTATTTATTCAGCGTTCAGATAATGTATAAATCTCAATTTTGAAATATTGACCCTTGTGACTGGTTTTACACATATATTATTATTATTATTATTATAAAGTGTTACCATTATATTAAATATAAAATTAAAATAAAAGGGGCACCACGATAATTGTGATATTTGATTATCTAATCAAAGACTGCAGTTTAATTAAATAACTGTACGCTTCTGAGTCAAACATAGCGCATTTTGTTATTAGAATGATCAAATATTAATTTATTTTACAGCACATTTGTAATTTACAACAGTAATATATTTCTGTCTTTATTTTGTATAAAATACTACTACTACTACTAATAATATGTTTATGGTTTATAATTTTTGCCCACATTATTGAAGTGCTGACTGGTCTTCATAATGTATGGAGTCCTTTCATTTTTATCCGTTTTCATCCAGCCTTGACCAAGAAACTCCCTGGAAAATAAAACATCTCTATTAAACATCATGCAGTGCTACTAAATAGTAAATCACCAACCATTTAAGAATAAAGCACTCTAAAGTAAAGTGATACACTCACTCGTATGGAATATTCCAGAACACAATATGGTCCAGTAGAGTGATTTGTTCTGCTAGTTCCATCGCCGACAGCGACTCAAAGCATTCGACTCTTGGACAGTCGGACTGGAGAACACACAAAATTACACTGAATGAATAAATGACATCTATACGCACAAATCAGAGAGACTTCAGTGCTGCAGTCACACTAACCATGTGCACTATGTCCTCAATCTTCAGCTGTGAATCATCTTGTTCTTCTTGAGAAAGTGCACTGAGGAAAGATGAAAATTACTAAAAGAGTAGTTCAACTAAAAATGAACATTTAAAAAATTTAATTATTTACTCAACACATATGATGTATTTTTTTACCCATTAAATGCGCATGTTACTATTTAAATCCATTTCACAAAATTGCATAGATTTCCCCCCCAAATCTTGGTGTAAAAAAAAAAAATTTTTATAAAGAAATTAATATTTTTAGTCTGCAAAAGTGATAGTAAAGACATTTATAATATTACAAAAGATTCAATTTCAAATAAATGCTGTTCTTTTGAACTTTCTATTCATGAAATAATCCTGAAATTAGTTTTTTATCATGGTTTCCACAAAAATGTGACCCTGGAACACAAAACCAGTCATAAGGGTCAACTGACTCAATGCATAATCTGAAAGCTGAATAAATAAACTTTCCATTGATGTATGGTTTGTTAGGATAGGACCATATCTGGCCGAGATACAACTATTTGAAAATCTGGAATCTGAGGGTGAAAAAAAATCAAAATATTGAGAAAATCATCTTTAAAGTTGTCCAAATGAAGTTATTAGCAATGCATATTACTAATCAAAAATTAAGTTGTGATATATTTACAGTAGGAAATTTACGAAATATCTTCATGGAACATTATCTTTACTTAATATCCTAATGATTTGTGGCATAATAATTGTGACCCATACAATGTATTGTTGGCTATTGCTACAAATATACCCCAGAGACTTAACACTGCTTTTGTGCTCCAGGGTCACATATAGTAACTGTTTCAGCATTGATAATAATCAAGTGAGCATATTAGAATGATTTCTGAAGGATCATTCGTGTAACATTGAAGTAATGATGCTGAAAATTCACCTTTGCATCACAGGAATAAATTAAATTTTTAAATATATTCAAATAGAAAACAGTTTATTTTAAATTGTAATAATATCTCACAATATTAAAGTTTTTAATCGCATTTTTGAACAAATAAATTCAACCTTACCGACCTTGAACTTTTGAATGCTAGTGTAAGTGCTTCAGCTCACTCGAGGGTGAGTAGAGGAAATAAAATTGGGGTGAACTATCCCACCTTTCAGTGAGACATCAAACTAATTCTCTCAGATCTGTAAAGATTTATCACTCACGCAGCTGAAGCACACAAATGCAGTCGGACTGACAGATAACATGTTCTCCACCTCAGTATGTTAGCTGCGGCCTTTCTCTCCTGCGGCAGAAGATCTGAATCTCGCAGCACCTCCTCCAGCAGAGCGATCACAGCCGTCGTCAGCTCTGCGTTCATCTCAAAGTCCTGCACAGACAAACACAAACACAGTGCTTCAGGGAGGATGTTCCTGTAATCCATGCACTCCATGAACGTAAACATGACCAACCCAACCATTACTGCTGAAGAAAGGACATGAACATCGCTCAATCTTTTTTCGTCCTCTGAGCGAGTAAACCCAGATGCATGGATTTGTACAAATCTGACTCAAAAATGGTGTTTGTGTGCATGTAACTGCTGTTCAAAAGTTTGGGGTCATTATGATTTTTTGAAAGAAGTCTCTTCTGCTCACCAAGACTGCATTTATTTGACCAAAAATACAGTAATCTTGTGAAATAGTATAATTTAAAATGACTGTGTGAATGACTTCTGTTTTGTTATATTATAAATTGTATTTTATTGCTATGATCAAAGCTGAATTTTCATCATCATTACTCCAGACTCCAGTGTCACATGATCTTTTAGAAATCATTCTAAAAGATAAGCAGATTTGACTCAGATTAAAAATTTTGTTTACTTTATTACAATAAGCAATTTTGGTACTTATGTCGGGTCACCAATCACTCTCCTGATACAAAACCAGTTGAGATCCACTGAAGACAGAAAGATTTAGAGTATATGGAGAAATCTATTTACAAATGAGACACTAAAAAGTGAAAAATAGCAATATTTTTTACTTTTTTAAGGTAAGACACCAGGCAAAACCATAGTTTTTCAGGCGCTGGTCAATTTTATTTTGCTTCGATGACGCATCTAATGGATGCTTGTTTCCACTGTAAAACGTTTTAGCTCACAATTCTGTCATTTTCTCCTGCAATTGTGAGATAATATATATCACAATTCAGACTTTTTCTCCTCAGAATTGTGAGTTTACACCTTGCAATTTTTTACTTTTTTTCACATAATTCTGATTTACATCTCACAATTGTTTTTTAAATCTCATAATTCTGACTTTTCTCTCAATTATGTGTTTTTTTCCTCACAATTTTGACTTTTCTTTATATCTTATACTACTTCTAATTCTTGTAAGCCATAATTGTGAGATAAAAATGACCTTTTTTTTATTCTGTGGCTGAGACAAGCTTTCATATGTCTGTCTTCAGAATAGTGGAAAGAAAACATCCAATATACACAATTAAGTGTTTATTTTATTACACTATCTATTTGCGTATGTATATATTTTACCACTTGCATATACCATTTTATTCATAACTATGTTCTGAAAGCTTTTACAGCGGAGTTTGTTCATATACCATTTGCCTGATATATATTTTGACATTTTATTTCCAAAAAAATATGGTGAAAATGTATTTTTTTCTGATTTATGGTGAGATAACTTTTTATATAATATTAAATTTTTTAAAATAGAAATCTAAAATCCCCTTGGCTAAAACCTTTAATATGTCAACAAAACAAGAATTTTGAACCTGGCTTAATCCAATGTTCAGATTCATGTTTTGGAAATATAAATTATGAATGAGAAATCACTCAAGGGCAGCACATCAGGATCTGAATAACAGGCTGAAAATGATGCAAAGTCAACAAACCTGCGAGTGTTTGGAAACCCAGTGGCGCAGGACGTTGAGCACCCTGTTGGTGGCGGCCCTGCGGATGAGGAACTCCTTGTCGTAGGATTTCTCAGGGTTGGTAAATCCTGAATGAGACACAGTAGGAGATTTCTGTTAGATGAGGACGAGAAAGCCTCCCCAGAGCCGTGTCACGACTCCTCAAAGACCCGATGGGAGATGCGTTTCAGCGGCCAGGGCAGCTGTCATCAGTCATCAGTGTCTCTAACCTTGCGGGCTGCTGTGTCCAGCTGCGGCGGTGGCGATGGCGAAGGCGGACGCGGGGGACACGGCACAGCGGGAGCTATCGGGAGACTGACCTATGAGAACACGAGTAGAGAAAACAAGTCACCATATCATGGGAAATGAGATTTTCTTGTTTTGAAATATGAGTTTAATCCGCTCTCAGAACATTCTGGCAACAAACATTCTTTCAGTAACGTTAATAGAATGTTTGTTCAAAACTTTAGCACAAAAACATTCTTTATACAGTACATCCTTCATGGAACGTGTTTCTTCCAAAACGTTTTAGTTGAAGTTTGTCTAGCATTTTGTTTTTAAATGTTACATTTCAGAATGTTCAGGGAACATTCAAAAGTAATGTTGGCAAAATTATAAAATAGAAAGTTCCTTTAACAAGAAAAAAAAACATGTTAAAACATTTTTAAAAAACTGTAAATTTTGAATGTTCAGAGAGCTTAAAGGGATAGATCACCCAAAAATGAAAATGTGATGTTTATCTGCTTACCCCCAGGGCATCCAAGATGTAGGTGACTTTGTTTCTTCAGTAGAACACAAACGAAGATTTTTAACTCAAACCGTTGCAGTCTGTCAGTCATATAATGGCAGTCTATGGGCTCCACGGGTTTTGAGAGTAAAAAAAAAAATCATACACAGACAAAACCAAATTAAACCCTGCGGCTCGTGACGATACATTGAGGTCTTAAGACATGAAACGATAAATGATATAAATACTGTTCAGTTTCTTGCACAGACTGATTGATTTGTGTCTTAAGACCTCAATGTATCGTCACGAGCCGCAGGGTTTAATTTGGTTTTGTTTGTTATCTTTTTTTTTTACTCCCAAAGCCGTGGAGCCCATACACTGCCATTATATGACTGACAGACTGCAACGGTTTGAGTTAAAAATCTTCGTTTGTGTTCTACTGAAGAAACAAAGTCACCTACATCTTGGATGCCCTGGGGGTAAGCAGATAAACATCACATTTTCATTTTTGGGTGAACTATCCCTTTAATGGGAACATAAGCTAAACATTTTAGAACAAATTTTTGTTAGCTGGGAATGTATTCTTATATCTTTTTTCCCAATCCATGCAGAGTATTTATTGTTAATAAACTAATCCAACTTCATGAAGTGCATTTTGGGATACTTTTTAAACAGTACTGAAGTAGTTAATTTGCCGGACTTTGATTTATGCTTTTCCTGCACAATCCAGTCCAACTAATGCATTAAAAAAAAAAAAAGAATGAAATAAAAATTGTATTAAAAAAGAAAAAATATATTTTTGTCTTAATAAAATGAAATATATTCCAGTCAAGTGTGTCCAAACATTTGACTGGTAAAAATTAAATATTAAAAAAACCCTGTTTAATTTGGTTTTAAAAATTATGAACTTGATTTAGGAAACCTCGACCAACTTCAGCGAAAAACAAAATGCTACTGAAGTGTACAATATGTATAACTCATAACCTAATGCTTAAAGTCTGCTAAAATAATCATTGAAAATATAATATTGAGAAAGGCAGTACCTGCAGGCGTTCGGTAGCGGAGGTGTCGCGGGGTGGATGGTGAACGGCATGGAGACATGTCTCCTGAATCACTGGACGTGGTCGTCTCAGGAATGAACTTATCCAATGATACTGAATCCAGTACAGCTGTCAGGAACATCATACAACATCAGTCATGTATCTATCTATCTTCACTCTCGCACCTAGCCATAAAGTCTGCTTTTTCAAACACTTGGGGAAAAAATGGGTCATTCTGAAGAGCACAGAGAATTCAAGCATGGTGCTGTGATAGTATGCCACCTTTGCAAAAGTCATTCCTGCTAGATATTCCACCGTATTATTGGAAAGTGGAAGTGTTTAGGAACAGCAGCAACTCGGAAGACCACCTAAAGTAAAAGAGTGGGTTACAAGTGCTGAGGCTTAATGCAAATGAGAGTTGAAGAGTTCCAAACTTCCACTGGATTAATATCAGCACAAAAACTGTGCAACGGGAGCTTCGTGGAATGGGTTTCCATGGCCGAGCAGCTGCATGCAAGCCCCACATCACCAAGTGCAATGGCAACTGCTGAATGGAGTGTGTAAAGCACAGCACCACTGGACTGTGGAGCAGTGGAAACCTGTTCTGTGGGGTGATGAATCGTGCTTCTCTGTTTGAGAGTCTGATGGGTGAGTCTGGGTTTGATGGATGCCAGGAGAACATTACCTGCCTGAATGCACAGTGCCAACTGTAAAGTTCAGGGGAGATGGGATAATGGTAAGGGGTTGGCCTTGGCCCTTTACTTCAAAATGTCAATGCTTCAGCATATTTTGGACAATGATATGCTTCCAACTTTGAATGCCCGTTCTTATTCCAGCATGACAGTGCCCCAGTGCACAAAGCATGGTCCATAAAGGAATGGTTTGATGAGTTTGGTGTGGAAGAACTTGACTGACCCATACAGAGCCCTAACCTCAACCCCAATGAACACCTTTGGGATGAACTGGAATGGAGATTGTGAGCCAGGCCTTCATGTCCAACATCATTGCCTGTCCTCACAAATGCTTTTGTGATGTGGCCAAGTATGGTAACTTGTACACAAAATTTGTGCTCTTTTCACCCATCCAAGTGCACACACAGCAGCAAGTAGAACACACACACACACCACTGACACACACCCAGAGCACCTCAGTCGTGGGTATTGAGGGTGGAAGAGAGTGCTGTTCATTCTTTCCTCACACCTATATTTCCTCTCAGTAATGAGAATCAAACCTGCGACCTTTGGGGTACAAGCCAGACTCTCTAACCATTAGGCTACAACTGCCCCAATAGTGGGATTTAAACAGGTCTCCAAGATTAAAACACAATGCTTTATTTACTGAGCTACCATGAGTCCATGGATGAATGGGCAAAAAATCCCACAGGAACACTCCAAAATGTTATGGAAAGCCTTCCCAGAAGAGTGAAAGCAGGATCGATCGTTCTATCTGTCTGTCTATCCATCCATCCATCTATCCATCTGTTCAATCATTCATTCTGTCTATCCATCCATCCATCCATCCATCCGTTCTGTCTATCCATCCATCCATTCATCCATCCGTTCTGTCTATCCATCCATCCATCCATCCATCCATTCTGTCTATCCATCCATCCATCTATCTATCTATCTATCCATCATTTTTTCTGTCTATCCATTAATCCATCCATCCATCTATCGTTCTGTCTGTCTGTCTGTCTGTCTGTCTGTATATCTATCACCCTGCTTCACAATGGAATTAATTTACATATATAAGTCTTAAAGGTACAGTAGCAAATACAATCTGTATAGCTCTACGGATCAGAAAGACGTTGGGAAATGATCATGAAAAACTAAATTATGACAACAAACCTGATTAACTGATAATATAAAATGGACACCAGAGAAAATAAAGTCCACAAACATGTTAAACAAAAAGAGACAGAGGGAGAGAGGAGCGCAGAGTTACTTGGACTGGTCCAGTACAAGCCTTGTGATCTTCAGGCTGTAGTCTGGACAGATGGAGGTGATGGACAAACGGTCGGACGAATGATACTGAGCCCTGCGAGTGACAGTGAGGGAGGAACAGGAGGATTGTGGGAAGCAGAGGATCGAGGGAACAGAGTGAGTTATATATGGTCTGTATTCTAAAGACACAGATGAAGCCAAACCTTAACATTTGAATGCATTTTTTAGTGTACTGTAAAAGTAATGCTGGTTTTGTATATTATACTGATCAATAAAAATCCATAAAGAAAGAAAATCATTTTATATGCATTTTACCTAATAATGTTTACATTGCACACATACTGGAGGATTACATTAGATTTTTTTATTTGATCTCCTTCAGTTTGCATGTTTGAATTTGCTAATTTGTGTTTAGTAAAATGCAGAAAATCTAGTTTGTATTTCCACTGATTAATTAAAGAAATCATTAAAAGATAAACTGAATATCAAAAAAGTTTTGTTCAAAAGTTTGTAATCAGTAAGACTTTGTTTTCCAAGATTCTTAAAAAAATATTACTACAAGACATACTATGAAATATTCTTACAATTTAAAATTACAGTATTCTATTGTATTTTTGTCATTATTTTCCGTCATGTTTTTCAATAGAATTTTCATTTTTGAATGTTCTATTTTCACCAGCCATTTCTCCAGTTTGAAATAAAAATATAATGATTTGATAATTATAATTACTATTATTAGAAAACATTGTAAATATGTAATGTTTTAATGCACCTTTGCTGAGTAAAAGTATCAATTTCTTAAAAAAAAAAAAAAATTGGAAATCCCAAACCTTTGAACGGCAATATACATAATCAAAATGAACTTCAGATTAAGGGCATCACAATCATCACAATGATGACTGGCATTCAGACAAGGATGAAGAACTTGTTTTAAATGTGTGACAGTCAAAACATTTAGAAGAAAACAATAATCAAATCAATCATTTTTGCACTTCCTTTGCACTGGAGAAAAAAAATCCAAAATACTGCTAGAGCGGCAGACACTCTAACCTGACCGGTATAGACGTGAAGGGTTTCTTGTAGATGTCGGAGAGTTTGTCCATGACGACAGCAGCGGTGGTGAAGATGCGGTAGGTGTGGAGGAAGGTGTTGAGGAAGTCGATGGACAGGAAGCGCAGGTCGGTCAGTCGTTCCAGGAGTCTCTCCACGCTGGCGTAACGGATCTGTGGCACCTTGCAGGAGTTCAGCGTCTTACTGAAGCAGATGTCCACATCGTCTTTATGCAGTCGGGCGTCAGACCTGCAGACACGAATGAGCAAATTACCTATTTACAGTGAACTCATCAGGATTAAGTCGGTGTAAACTAAAATTAAAACAAACTATTAAAACTATAAAATATGTACTTTTTTTGTTAATTGGAATTATGCTGAAATGAAACAAAATCTAAATATAGATAAAGTTCTTAGATAAAAGTCTTAAAGTTAAATGGAATTTAGAAATAATATATTGGCAGCTAAATGAAAAAAGTTGTATAAAAAAACAATTATTAAAAACCATTTTAAATACATACATTTTTATAAAAAATATATATATATATTTATATTTTATCAAAAAAATATTTGTAATTTTTAAATAAACAATTGATTTAAAATAAATATGCATTTACTGTATTTAAATAAAAATATAAAAATGTCTTTATTTTAAATCATTAAAACAACAAATACATTTTATGTGTTTATTTTTATTACGTGTGTGTGTGTGTGTGTGTTTATAAATGTAAATAAATATTAATTTAAAATGAAGCATATTTATGTTAAATGCATACATTATTATTGTAAAATAAACAAAATATTTATGTTTTTATAACAAATATATGTATGTATTTGTATCTGCATAATAAAGGAATCTGAATTTAAATAAAAAATAAAGAAAATTAGAAATGGAATAAAGCTGAAGCACTACAATTACTTAAAATAAAATAAAAAGAAATATAAAGCTAAACAAGTATTACAAAAAATCTAAGTATTCATAAAATAACACTGGAGTGCTTGTGTTTTACTTGATCATGTGCGGCACGGTGACTTTGGAGTTGTCCTCAAACACGCTGGTCATCAAGCCGTTGCAGCGAATGTTGTCAATGCACTAAATGGCATAAAAATAGAGAAAAGAAAAACTTCACTCTCACGTTCTAGCAACTGTAACAGCAGTCAAAATAAACAATTATTAAAAACCATTTTAAATACATACATTTTTATAAAAAAATATATATATATTTATATTTTATCAAAAAAATATTTGTAATTTTTAAATAAACAATTGATTTAAAATAAATATGCATTTACTGTATTTAAATAAAAATATAAAAATGTCTTTATTTTAAATCATTAAAACAACAAATACATTTTATGTGTTTATTTTTATTACGTGTGTGTGTGTGTGTGTGTTTATAAATGTAAATAAATATTAATTTAAAATGAAGCATATTTATGTTAAATGCATACATTATTATTGTAAAATAAACAAAATATTTATGTTTTTATAACAAATATATGTATGTATTTGTATCTGCATAATAAAGGAATCTGAATTTAAATAAAAAATAAAGAAAATTAGAAATGGAATAAAGCTGAAGCACTACAATTACTTAAAATAAAATAAAAAGAAATATAAAGCTAAACAAGTATTACAAAAAATCTAAGTATTCATAAAATAACACTGGAGTGCTTGTGTTTTACTTGATCATGTGCGGCACGGTGACTTTGGAGTTGTCCTCAAACACGCTGGTCATCAAGCCGTTGCAGCGAATGTTGTCAATGCACTAAATGGCATAAAAATAGAGAAAAGAAAAACTTCACTCTCACGTTCTAGCAACTGTAACAGCAGTCAAAATAAACAAACTAGGGGTGCACAACATATTAGTAAACAATCATTATCAGCTAATATTAGCTTTTTAAATGATCAGCTGATACTGGTAGCATGTAATATAAGGGCTTATTTTTCCTACTCAAATTGTTTTTATAAGATGACAGTTCATCTGAAGCGCATAAAATTATAGATGAATAAATAAATGAAATGACCAAAACAGTTACCAGTATTAACCCAAAATTTGCATACCAGTTCATCCCTAGGGCAAAGTGTATAATAGACCGTTCATACTAAAAATATTATGCAAAAACCTTACCGTAAAGTCAGAGAAACTATTTATGTCAATGCAAATATAATGGAAACTTCCCACTCTTGTGCATTTCATGCATGTTGCTTTCTAGCTAGAAAACATGAACTTCTGTTCTTGGGCTTTGATTGAATCTCTACATTTCTGAGCTTGAATAAACCGTTTAATTCTTGTGCATGCATTTTTGTTTCATATGAGTTGTGATATTCTGTTCTACAGATACAAAAGGTGTGAATAAGCGTGTTGCATGTATTGTGCAGATTGTACCTGGCTCATGTCGCTGGTCCAGGCTGCTTTCTCCTGCCGAGACGGAGCGAGCAGAACGACTGCAAACGACGGACCATCAGCAGGTTCAACCACTATTTTAAACTCCAGACGATTGAATCCCTGACCAGCAGCATTATCTGAGGAGATTGGAAATCAAAACTCACTGTTTACGTCATTGATAGTTAGCTTTGTGTTGGTATTACTGGGTCTGACGGTTGGCTTGGCGTCACACTTACAGTCTTCATCACTGGCGTCCAGCTCCTCGATAAGCGCACACTCTATCAGAGACAACCTGCCTCCCTGCTGTGGTTTAGAAGAAAGGTACTTTTATTATAGTTCATTTATGCTTTTGCATGAAACAGTTCACCCAGATGTCTGAACTGCTCTTTTCTTTTCAACAAAGGTGAACAGTGACCAATACTGTAAATAAAACAAAGCGGGGTAGGAACAACATGACGCTGAGTAATTGATGAGAATATTTTAGGGTGAACAATTCCTTTAAGAAATTTAGGTCCCACTTTATATTAGGTGGCCTTAACTACTATGTACTTACATCAAAAAATAAGTTCAGTGTACTTAGTGTTCATATTGTATTGCAAAACACTTTTGCTGCTGTTGAGGTGGGATACGGGTGAGGTTAGGGACAGGTTTGGTGGTATGGGTAGGTTTAAGGGAGGGTTAAGGGGTAAGATGGGTCAACAGTGTAATTATAAATGTAATTACAGAAATTAATTACAGATGTAATTACATATAGGTATTTTTAAAAATATAAGTACAATGTAAAAACATGTACACAATAAGTGCAATGTACCAAATGATTAATTTAAATGTAAGTACACAGTAGTTAAGACCACTTAATATAAAGTGGGACCGAAATTTAAATAAACTGAATTCCTTTAATTTCTGAGGTGTTGTTATTCTCAGGGTGACTCAACTCACTTTGAGAAGGTGCGTATTTTTATTTTTGATTAATTTACAATAAAGAAATACTATTAATTTAAAATAATAGATAGTTACAAAAAATAATTTCTTCATTTTAAAATACTTATTTTGATCATATGTATTAACATTCTAAACACACACACATATATATATATATATATGCACATTTAAATGAATATAAAGATTCAGAAAATAATAATTTTAAATAAATCATGCATATTTAATACACTTATTATTATAAAGTACATTTTAAACAAATATACTGAATTTAAAAAAAAAAAATAATAAAAAAATACTATTAATTTCAAATAAATAATACAGATCTATTTTAAACAATAAAAAACGATATAATTTTAAATAATATTTATATTTAAAAAAAAAAAGATATTTATTTTCAATTTTACATTACATTTTATTTTTGAATAAATAAAATTGTTTAAATAATAGTTAAATATTTTAAATAAATCACTTTGAGAAGGTGCGTATTTTTATTTTTGATTAATTTACTATTAAGAAATACTATTAATTTAAAATAATAGATAGTTACAAAAAATAATTTCTTCATTTTAAAATACTTATTTTGATCATATGTATTAACATTCTAAACACACACACATATATATATATATATATATGCACATTTAAATGAATATAATGATTCAGAAAATAATAATTTTAAATAAATCATGCATATTTAATACACTTATTATTATAAAGTACATTTTAAACAAATATACTGAATTTAAAAAAAAAAAATAATAAAAAAATACTATTAATTTCAAATAAATAATACAGATCTATTTTAAACAATAAAAAACGATATAATTTTAAATAATATTTATATTTAAAAAAAAAAAGATATTTATTTTCAATTTTACATTACATTTTATTTTTGAATAAATAAAATTGTTTAAATAATAGTTAAATATTTTAAATAAATTTTATACATAAAATTATGTGACCATGGACCACAAAACCAGTCTTAAGTGTCAATTTTTCAAAATTGAGATTTATACATCATCTGAAAGCTGGAAGTATCACTTTGATTCTTTGCGTTGCTGAGCTGTTATTATCTTCAGATGGACTCGACTCACTTTGAGCAGGTGCAGTTTGCCGCCGGAGGTGCGTGTGCAGATGAGGAAGTGTTTGGTGAACAGGAAACACTGGCGTTCGGCTTCTTTCCTGAGCGACAGCGAGCCCAGACGCACCTTACTCAGTTTACCCTTCTCCACGGAGGGCAGCTGAATCAGAGAGCCTACAGCAAACACACACACACATCAGCTCATTACCCAGAGGAAGGAGAACATTAAAGACAGCGTTTCAGGGAGAGAGCGCAGCGCTGTCTCATCCAGAGACGCTTTTCTATGAGACAAGATGCATTAAAATGGCACATTAGATCTCATTAGAGCACATTTCACACCTTGCTGTCAGTGTGGAGCAGAAACCATCACACACTCATATTCATACTAAACTACTGACTGACTTTTGTTTGAAATAAAGAAACAATAATAATATACAACAAACAGATAATACATATGTATTTTAAATTAAATTTTTTTTATTTTAACACAAATAAAATATTATTTTTGTATGTAAATATGCTTTTGTATTTAAATAAAGAAATAATATTAATTTTAAAACAATTGAAACTTAAATTTTTATCATATATATATAAATAATAAATATTTATATTAAATAGTTTTATTTTTAAAATAAAATATTTTTGTTTGCAATAAATATTACAAACAAATATTAATTTAAAAAATGATTATAAATAAAGAAATAATGATAATTAAAATAAATAGTTTTATTTTTAAACCAACATTTTTGTTTAAATAAAATATTAGTTTCAATTTGCATAATACATTTATATAATGCATTATATAATTTTTATAATTTTAAATTTAAAATAATCTGGATTTATAAAAAGAATATTTATTGTAAAGAAATAAATTCTAATTTAATTTTTTTAAATACATTTACATGCTTAATGTTTAAAAAATATATTTTTAAGTGAACATCTGACCCCTAAAAATGATTTTTCTTGCCGTAACATGATAAATAGGTCAGAAATCAGTAATATTTAATCATTTAAATCAATCAAACCATCAAATAAATAAAACAAACAAACAAAAATATTTAATGGGGGTCAGCTGGTAGAAAATGACACTAGTAGAAAAGCAGAACAAACAGGAAAGAATCACTTCATGAAGTATTGGGGTAAAAAATAATTTGAAGAAGACGTGTCCTGCAATCAAACACCCCGCCGCTCCATAATGACCCGTGTCTCACCCTGCCGTACAAACGTCTGACTGGTGTCTAGCAGAATATCACAGCCCTCCACGATCATTCGCTCGATCGCCAGATTCTTACGGATGTTTTCTGTGTCACTCACTTCATCGTGCATCATTCTGAGAATAAACGCACAAACACAGCTGTATCATCTCAGTGTATACAATAAATAGATCTTAAGGTGTTTGGCAGAAATGTGAATTGGACTACATTGAACCATGACATATTCTAGGCTTGAGAGAAAGTGTGATCAAAGCCCTGGTCACATGAATGTAAATAATACAATTCAAAAGTCTTGTTTGTATTTAAAAGCATCACTTTTTTTTTCCATAGAGGAAGCACTTACACTAATGGGGCTGCTTGATATGCGAGTTTCATCTTAGAATAACCAGATGTTTAGTGGATACAATCTGATATAATTTGACAGAAGTGTTTGGAATCTTACTGCTTTTAGGATGATTTTAAAAGTTGGTGAAGAATTAAGAGAGAAAACAGTCATTTAAAATAAATAATTAGTACATATGCTTTTAAATAAATATATTTTTTATTTTAAAGCAAATAAAAGATTAATGTTTTTATAGTAAATATTTATTTTTATATATA